GAAACATCAATATTTTCAAACCGAGATAAGCCCAATGCAGCATAGTGATCACTGCAATTCAACAACCTAACAACTTCATCTTCAGATGTTGTCTCAGAATCCAATCCACTAGTTGAAGGAACTCCTGATCTTCGATCAGTGGATGGACCAGCAGCACCTGCTTCAGCAGATGAATTACGAACTTGATCATCAGAAACGAAACCAGATTGACCTGGCACTTCAGCTGTTTGTTCTGCAGCACCAGTAGCCCTTCTTTGCTCGTTGATATTGTTCCTCAGGAAGAATATCAGAACATCACTTGAAATAAATGATATATTCAAACCAAAGAGTAAACCGAGCCACCCAACAGATGCCCATGCACAATATACAGAGTATGACGTTGCAATAAACAGTGCAAGGCGTTCGCGGCCCAATATAAAAGCCAACCCTGCATTTTGAAGAGCCCCCAACATCAATGATAAAAATAAAAAGAAACAGCATTGGGGAAGATCTCAAATATTCTCAAACACATACAGAAGAGTCACCTCCAGAAAGCAGAACAAGCATTGTCATCCAAAAGCTTCCATAGAACCATAGAAGAACAATGCCAGAAATGGCCATCAATAGAACCGCAATGGTCAACCCAACAAGAAGTCCAGCTATAGCAGCCACAGCCTGGATAAATACAGAAGCAAAACACAACCATGACTAGTATTCAGGTACTTCCGATTTGAAGGGTGAAGGGAAGCAATGAACAATCAGACTGAAGAAAGAAAACAAATAGGAAGTCCTTGTTTTGAAAAAATAGGGATTACAAAGAAATTCACTAATTATTTTGAAATCGCATTTAAATTACAATTTCAAAACAAAGCAGTGTAAGGAATGAATAAAAGCTGTGTATAGTCAATCGGCTCTACTTGTAAAACAGCACCTTAAGCACGCTCCACCCTCGAAGGCCCACATGAACAAGGGACTTAAAGGCTATTGGGCATTGTCTGACTTTTACCTCTACACTTTTGATATTCACCACACACCATATATATCCACATTCCCATCCCCATCCCCTTCTCCAACCCCCTCTTACTCAAAACACAGTTCATGTGTCTCATTCAAGAATTACAATAAAATTTGCTCCGCACACTTCATCTACTAAATGAATGCACAAAAGCACAACCCAACACAGACAATAAAATTGAACTAAATTGAATTGCTACGAGTCATTGCTGCCAAAGAGGGAAACCCCTGTAAATCAAATTTAAGCAATTCAAATCTCCAAGAGATATACAAGTCACCCAAGCATTTCACCAAGACTGCTATATTTGAGTACTTTATCTTTAATAGCTTTAAGGAACAAGAACTAGTAGGCATAAGAACTAGCAATCATATGAAGGTCAAAGAACTCATGATCAATTCAAAAGTAGGTATACAGACTGAATCAGATACTATGCGGGGAAGAAAGGCGATGCACTTAGATAAGGCACAAAATCAGGCTTACCAAGACAATAAGAAACTTGAAGATTCCAACCATTGCAGTAACTGAGAGAACACTACACCATAAAACAGAGAAAAATGATGTTGTTCCCATTCGCAGAAAGGAATCGATGCCTCTGAGTGTGCAATCCAACCAAACCATAAAAAGTAGGAGCATTATATTCACAAAGTGCATAATCCATTTTAGAACAACAGGGAATGCTTGCTCAATCTTCACTTGAACATAGTGACAGGCCTTTAGTATACTTGCCCTCATAGTGATAAGCAGTGGTCGGTGTCTTTCCATCCATTCAGTTGATGCCTTCAATGTTGACAGGACTAAGCTCCTCAGGCGCTTTAATATCAATATATATGAGAACTCTACTTTTTCCATGGTATCATCACCATTGTGCATTCCATTTAATGAGTAAGCAAAACTGCTTTCTGAATTTTTTGTGCTGTGACAAGTATTGGAGGGCACGTCATCTTTTCCCATTGAATGAAGACTTTCAGCAGCTGATACAGTTGTATTGCAATCTCCAGCATCAGTCTCTGGTTTCTCTTCAACTTGTTTTCTATCAACAACTTCTTCCATTCTTCTAGGAAATTTACGGGACTGCTGCTTCCCCTTGGTTTCAGCTTGTACATGGCATTTATTATCAATGCCCTCTTTTGAATTGACATCAGAGTGGTTTCTTAGAAGTTGTTCCTCATGTAAAACTTTAATTTCACTTGCATTAGCTCTTTCACGCTTAGCTGGCAATTCAGATGCGGTACTGGGAACTGGTTTTTTCTGTTGGTTCCCTTTCTTCCGCGCCATCAACTATAATATTAAAGTTGCTAGCTGAAAAGTGAATGATATTAACTCATAATTGGTGAAACCTGTCAAAACAAGATTGAGGACAATCAAAGCCAAGCACACCAAAGATAAGAACAAAGAGAATGAAGTCCTTTAACAACTTGGCCCAGATTCAAGTAGGAAGTTTATGAGATAAGACGAAGTTTAATAAGATTCTCTTCAAATATACCAAGTGTTCGAGTTGAGCACTTTTCTAGACATCTGTCGAAAACAGTGTTTTTAAATCCTTTCACCACAAAAAGTAAGCACTTGCTTGGGATACAAAATATATTACTAAACTTAGAAATTTCAATCAGTTTTCTAAGTTGACAAAGAAATGCAGGGGAAACACTCACAAAATACTTGTAGATAGCGAAGCATCTGCATGATTATTTCAAGGTAGTATATAAGAACATCAAATCTTAGTCATCTCACTGTAACAGTATTTCCTGATACAACACAAGTGCCTTACAGGGAGTTTGTATAAAGCATCATGTGGCATATCTTCAGTATTATCCATGCAAGTAGTAGCTGAATCAGATTAGGGGAAAAAATTACCAAGACGAACGACTTAGTGAAAAGCATTTGGCGGATGCCCTATGCACTCGGTGCAGATTAAGCCAAAGCGCAAATGAACCTAATCTAAAGTGGAAACAGCCACATGCCCAACACGAATACAAATGCAGAGGTAAAGAGGCTATAACATGACTTCGAATCACATTGCTGTTTAGTTGATTCCGTACCAGACGCACATAAGCCAATGTTAAACACAGGTAATCAAAGTAAGATGCATATATCGAAAAGGGTACAAGAAGAAAACGGAGGTAATCACTTTGTCAACAAAATCCCTAATATTGTACTGAATCGACCGATGGTAGTTTTCATTGGGGTTCTCCCCAAAACTCAATAAAACCGTCGGACAAAGCTCTCAGAAAATCAAGAAATAGCTTAGCAGCAGAAGATGATTGAGTGACTATGAAAGGCAGGATAAATAAAACTAAGCGGCCAAAAGGGCCAGCAGCAAAGCCCACAAGAAATCAAATGCTAAAACGCAATCCAAATATCAAAATGAAGCAGCAGAGCGACGTACTGGTAGTCCATATTCCAAGTCCCTATCTTGGTTTTTAGTTTTTGGGTCAGCAGGCGGTGGATGGTTAGCTGTGGTGTGGGAGGAAGAAGGGTCCTCAGGGGAGGGATTGGGTGCGGGGGGAGGACACAACAACTGGACTTTGGACTATTATGTCAGCAGGGGAGGCTGGCTGACGAGTCCTTTGTGTCAGCAAGAAGGCAGGCAAAGCCGAGAGGAAACAAAGACAGAAAGGCTTTGGAGTTTTGATCAATCAAAAAATAGGGCTTTTGCTTAATTTTGGACCTCTCAACCTCGCGTCTGGTGTCACCCTCTGCCCCTCTGCTCTAATCTCTACTACACTCTCTTTCCAGCCCTCGCTGCCCTTAGAAATGCTCTTTTTTTTTTTTTTTTTTTTTTTTTTGCGCTTCTGTCCTCTTTCTTTCTAACTACTTACCTGAGTGTCAAAATACATCAAACGTACGAGATGAGATTAATCTCATGTAGTTTGACAAGTAAATTTTAACTCCAAAATGAAATGACGTGACATACATCAAGATCTTCTAATGTATATATATTGACCGATCAACAACATATAAAAGAAAGATTTTGATCAGCGAAAAATTTTTAAACATTCAAATTCCACATCGTGTTTTATAAATTTTAGTTTTGTTCAAAACAATTTACTCTTTTTCACAGAAAATATATACATATCTAGCTAGTAATGGTATCCCTTTTTTTTTTGGATTAATCTCGCCTTTTGTCATTTGGCATAACTAGGGGTGTGAATCGAAATCGAAATCGATAATTCAGAATTTTGAAATCGAAATTTTTCAGAATTTTGGTATCAGAATTTTTGATCGATTTCAATTTCGAATTCATCAATTCCAAATTCGAATTCGTTCCGAATTCAATTCGGAATTCGATAAATTCCGAATTCATGAATATAAAAATTATTATTATTATTATATAAATATTAAATTACATATATAAAAAATATTATATATATGTGTGTGAAAGCGAAATTGAAATCGAAATAGGAATTCCAATTTCACCGAATTCATGAATATAAAAATTATTATTATAATATAAATGTTATAATATATATATATATGAAAAAATAGATTTGAAATTGAAATAGGAATTTCGAATTCTGATCTCGATTTCAATTTCGAATTGTGAATTCAAAATCGAAATTTTCGATTTGAAAAATCTCATTACCGAATTCGACCCGAATTCGAAATCGGATATTCCGAATTCAATTCAAATTCCGTCGGTAAATCGAAATTTTTCGATTTTGCACGCCCCTAGACATAACTAACCATCAAGTTGTACCTAGCAATTTCAACACTGAAATTCTTGATCCAAACGCGACAGATGAGTGGTTTAGCATCTTAATCGCTGGTTACCAGTCAAGTAAAAGTTTTTGAACCACTCGCTCAATTATCTAATGGATTGAGCGCAGATGTTCCAGAGATGCCTTCAACTGGAACACATTGAACGAAGTGAAGCAGTATTTGTCATTTGCGAGTTCATTTACAATGCTGTCTTATATGGGTCGCTGCCTTCCTTTCATCTTTAGTCTATTATAATGTTGTACTAGAAAGGAGAAAGGGTAGCAAAACTGAAAAGTTGTCTCCAGTGAGATGGGAAAATTGAAGTATGCAGATACATGGTGATGGTGGATCCAAGACAAATTAGTCGAATTAACAGAGTGGACATTTTCAAAATAAAAAAGAAACCAAATTAGCAGTGGCTTTTTTGACAGCAGAAACATTTAGTTGCATTTTATTCTTGATTAGCTCTGACTTCTGAACAATCACGAAGTCGTTAAAAAGGAAAAACAACAGCAACGACAACAGTAGTTCAGCATGAAACCGTAGATATGCAATCCATCCCAGAACAGCTCAGCCAAAGCCATGGAATAGATAGGCAACACTTCTTTCCTCGGCAAATCAATTTCTAAACGAAGAGCTGTTGCACTTGATGCCGGCATTTCATATCAAGTGTCCTGAATGCAACGCATTGGTGCTTTCACAGTAAACCAGCAGCCCAGATCCAGAATATACATCACAATGAGTCCAATACAAAGACCAGTTTCACCACAACATCCTGATGTTAAATTTCGCACACTATTTATGCTTTAGAGGCACCGCAGAGACACTCATCCTTAGCTACAAAAACAAACTGCATGCATCTTTTTCCTGTCGAACTCTTTCCAACAAAGCCAGAAACAACTTCTTTATCACTATCAGCCCACCAGAGCATACGGCAACATCAAACACTTGAAAAGTGCACAAAACAACTGATAAGCTGACCAATTAATTTTCTTTATGCGTCTGAAGCAGCTTTACCGACACATTAATATGTAAACTTCTATTAACTAGTCAGTCAGTTGGCTGAACACTGCACAAGGAAATGATGACTTGATGGCCCAAAAGCAGCTCAATATTGAGAACTTGAGTAGCATGTAGTCGATTCAATTCCCATCAACCATGAAAGAAAGACCAATTAGAAAAAAAAAATTATATTAAAGGCTGGAGCAAGCAAATGAAAAGAGATTTAAATACTCGAATGTGACAATAGGTTGCGACGGTTGACTGGTCATACAAGTGATGAGAGGCTTGAACAACAGGAAACCAGACCCAACAGCAGAATTGGAGTTGCCAAACCAGGTAGGGGATTGGAAATAATCATCAACCAACTGATCATACTGCAGGTAAAACAAAAACCAATTAAGATGATAGTTCATCTAAGACACGTCCATGAACCATACAACAAAAGCTAGTTGCATTCTTTTATTTGCTTAACAGAAGCCCATTAATAGACCAAATGGGGCACTATATACAATAGTTCTCTGCAAGCAAATAAGCAGCCACATGCACGCCTTAATGGCACGAAAAAATAGTGCTTCTAAAGGCATGAGCAGAGAACCATAATGGCAGTGTGGAGCTGTTCTTCACAGAGTACATCTCCTTCCACACTTTGTTCTTGAGCTGGTAGACCAAAACCTGCTTATGTGTTGCCAAAAAAACATATTCACCCGTCTGACTTATTGGAAAAATGCCTGGAACCATCCCTCTGATACATCGGAGACTGACTTTATCAACCATATGCCATTCTTCCCTCTCATAGTCTTTCATTACCCAGATATTCATCCAAGCCTCTGATATTTGAATCACAGACAAGCATCCTTCTGACTCCAACAAGTAGGCACGGTTCCCAACAGCGCAATTCACCTCATTTGGCAATAAAATTCTCCTCCACATGTCACATTCCAAATCCAAAACGAGCAAACAAGTGCAACTCCCCGTCAACCAGTGCAAGGAGCCATTAATAAACACAACCTGATTCCTATTCATATGCGTAAAATGATCATCTTGCAAAGAAACAAACTTTCTCCACTTATTTGACTCCGAATCATAGACCAAACAAATAAAAGTCCTTTCGGGTCTGTGTCCAAAAGGTCGATGATAACCCGCCAACACAACATTATAGTTATGTGTCAGCAAATTGCAAGCTAAGCCAACAAGCGTAGCTTCACCATCTGGGTAAAATCTAGTAACAGGCCTTTCCCTACTCCTGGGAAGCATTTTATATTCTCTAGTCATTGGATTACAGACATAATAAACCCCTTTATCAGGTATACTAGAGCAACACAACAAACCATTACAAGATGCTCTAACCTTGACTCTAGCCTTGATAAAATCCAAGGAAAACTCATAAACGCCTCTTAAATTATCGACACAAATCAAACTTGATCTTGATTCTGACGAGGTATCAGTGACCTCCACAAGTACCATAGGGTTTCTGATAGAAAGTTCATTGTGAACATGCCGAAAATAATCACCAGAGGCTAATTGATACCACAATTTGCACACGCACTTGATCCTAGTAAGGGCTTTTACAGGCAATCTTGCAAGAATTTGCAGGATTACATCATCCGGGAAAAATTCCAATCTTTGATTTGATTGATCCATGATTCTAAATGAATTGGAAGCTAGGAACAAAATACAAGAAAGGGCGAATGAAAATCTTACCCAAATGCTTGCATCTTGAAAGTGGGCAATCTATCAAGCCTTATTGCAGCAGATAGAACAGAAAGTGAAGGCACGATAACAGGATTGTTGGTGCAAGAGCCTTAAAATGGCATCGGTAGAAACACAAATTATGCCAATCAAAATGCTACCGGCAGTAGCCAGGGTTATTAGAGTTTTTCCACCCGCTGCCACGTCCTGGATTAGAAATACCGAAGCAGTTGGGGATGGAACAGCGGTGGCGAAACCTCAAGGAAGTCGGAGGTTTCTGAAAATTTTACTTAGCTCCTCTCAGGTTTAAAAAATTACACTTACCTCTCCTGATATAGTAAAATTCCTATAATACCTTCTACTTGGTAAACAATTTTAAATTTAAGACAATAAATTTACAAATTCAAAAGAAAATCTATTTTTCTGCCTTTTGTCTACTTTCGTTCCTCTCTTTTCTAGTTAATATAACCTTTTTTTATTATTTTTAGTTTTGTGGATATTATCAAATTAAAATTACAAAATCAACAGAGGGAGCAGATTATGTGTCAAATTAAAAGGAAATGAAGAGACTTGTAGTGATAGAAAAATAAGTAATGAAATTGATGGTTGAAATAGAAAAAAGAACTAAAGATGTGAAATTTGTTATATTTTGTTTGTTATCAAGAAAATTTTTTATAAAATGTCAATAATTATATAAGGATTGTTTTACATTGGATTAAAAAATTTTTATTATGAATTTATTGTAAAGGTAGAATTTATTCTCTACTTTTGATATATTAATATTTTTAAGGTCATAAGAAAGTTGTAATGGTGGTTCTAAATCGAATTAACTTGCATTGAAATGTATTTGAGCATTGATATTTAATTTTTGGGGTATAAAATCAGTTGTCAATGGGTTTGTTAGTGTTTTTTTTTCTTCTTTTTTTTGTGCGACAAGTATTAATACTGTATATATAATTTGAGATCTTTTAAATAGCTACTTGTTTTTAGAATTTACACTTGGATGGTTGTTAGGGATTAGACTTGCTGATTTGAGTAAAGTGTGAAAAAAAAAAAGATTGACTATACTATATTTTTCTTTCTTAATTTTGTACAAAAGGGTAATTTAAGATTTTTGTGTGAAAATCTATTGTGAAAATCTATTTTGTTGGACGTATATTGTTACTAAATAGTAAAAATAGGGAAGGTATATATAATTTTTACAACCTGATGAGAGCTCTTTGTAATTGTTAAAAATCTCAGGGTAGGTTTGTGAAATTATCCCAAATAAAAACTATGCCCGTCAAACATTATTGAGAAAATTATTTTATATTTTAGAACTTAGAAAGAAGCTTTTGTCATTAATTCATTATAATTATTGCTGTTGTCGTTTATTTAAACGAAATGGAAATGAGATTTTGAGTGGACGGCTGCGATTAAGCACCTATGAGTCTTGAGCCTTAATGTGGATACTAAGATTTTTTTTTTCTTTGGGGAATGGAGACTAAGAATTTACTTAACTTTGGCACGGTTTGTTTTGAGAGAATAGGAAAGAAAGGAAAGAAAATAGTAGGATAACGTTTTTTTATGTTTGGATTGATTTTTTAGGAAAGAAAGGGAGGGATAATGTTTTTTCTTTTTTCCGATAAGCATGATTTACGTCTAAATAAAAATGGACAAAAACGAAAAGAAAACTAAAATTAACTAAAATTTTAAAGCTTTCTTAAAAAGTTCTATGTGCTCATCAATTAAAATTCTAATGCTCAAGACGAGCTGCATGGAATGTATCTTTGGTCTATTTGACTCAAGTTCGATTTGGAATGAGTGTTGATCGAGTTGGAGTTGAGTTTTGACAGATCTAACTCGCGAGTAGATTAAAAACGTAAGCAATGTATAATAATTTTCTTTCCTTTAATGTTTCCTTTCTTTTCTTTACGCATTTTAATCCAAACAAGATGACAAGCATCTTTTCCACTAAAATTTTCGCGTTTTCTTTCATTCACTTCCTTCGATCCAAATAGTGGGTCAAAATCAACAAATAAAACAAGTGGGACTAGTTTACTTTTTCAATATAGCCAAAACAATTGGTTGAAGTTCCGTTTTATTATTAAGGGTTACTCGTGTCCCTTGAAAGGGATGAATTATATGAAGGTCCTTGGACTTTTATCTGGTGAATTAGCATAAATGCTCAGATTATTCTGTTTAGGGAAAATGAATTGACGTATGTTTTGCGCAAGTGATTTTGAGGCACCATATGAATAAAAATCCAAACAGTAGTTGTTTGCCTAAACAATTAAAAAGTTATATATATATATATATTTTTTTTCATGAATAATTTCGCTTACCGTCTCTTAAGTTTTGAAAATTACACATACCTCCCTTATCTTAATATTTTTAGCAACAAGAAACACTCAAAATGATGACATCACCTAAATCTCGGGATGATAATCCTAGACTACCCTTATTAGTATATAATTTACAGAGAATTCCTCCAAAGAGAAAAAGGTAAATACTCCTGACACTTCCCAAGCCAAACATCCGCGCCCTTTGCCGCACTTTTTTGGACCAATTAAGTAACATCACCTAAACAACGTTCCACAAAAGAACAACCGGCCGTAGACAAAAGGCAAAGCGAGTCCGAAAGCAGAAAGGAGAAAGATGGACCCCAAAAATCTTGATGAAAGCTTGAGTTCTTGTCATTAGACCGCTATGGCTGTTGATTATCCAACCATCTTAACAACATAGATCACACCAGCAAACACTCCATAATCTTTCCATTGTGCTCTTTTTTCCATCTGGATGTTATTATTACATTGTTGGTTCTTTCAATCTATGGTCCTTGTTGCTAAAATGGACTATATATAACTTAAGAGGGAGGGGGGGACAGGGAGCAACCTGAATTGTGGTTGTAAATTCTGGGCTTGGAGTGTAGGCAAACTAAGCAAAGAACTTCATCCTCAACTTGATACTCCGTGAAGGTGTATCTGAATCGGATTGAAATGCAATTAATGCACCTTTCTTTTATTCTTCTTTCAGGCTTTGTGCACATTTAGCTAAACATTTGCAACCCACGTGAAGGAGAAAAGCAAAATAGAACAGAAACATGGAAGGGGTTAAATTATCCACATAACATAGAAATGGCATTTTATAGAAGAATCAACATTAAATATCATAAAAGTAGTTATCATAACAAAATAGTGCCAAGCTTGTAAAATAATCTCTATTTGCTTAAACAGCATTTCATCCCCATACCTGATAGCGTGCTTTCTATGCTTTATGCTACAACACCGGAATCTCGAATCAATCTTTGAGACATAAGCGGCGAGGGGGGCAGTCGTGTGTTATAAGATCTCGAATCTGCTTTGCTTTGTTTAGACTCACAATGGACATAATCCATATTTATTAGGTACGAAACCCAAGAGATGAAGGACACACTGCCTTCAATATGGACTACGATTCGGTCTCTATTCCATTGTAAAAGAAGCTCAAGCAACTTTAATCTGCAACAACAGAAAATATCAGCAAGAACCACAAACATTTTTAATCACACGCCAAACACCCATGCAACTAGATATCAAAAGATATGATGATGCCAAACCCTAGACAATTCAGAAACCCCCCAGATCCTCGTTAACCTGCCAATGATCTATTATAAGCATAAATCAGTCCCAAGGCTCAGTTAGTAGGTAAAAAGCAAAGAATCTCTCCGATTTTACCAGGTTCTGAAAGTACCACAAGTAGCATTTACATAACTAGTTTAACATAGTACTGAAGGTGGAATTGAGGCTTCAGATTAGAAGGTTCCCGAGTTGACAACTCAAATGGCGACATATCTTGGAGAGTAGATGCTCGAAGGAACAACTCCAGACTTCTGTCAACTCCAGCAAATTACTAGCAGACTACTAACAATGAAAGCAAGGTGTTAAAACAGATACCTTTTCTCATGCTTTTTGCTGAAATTGCTCAGCTACATGTCTGGAAAATAGGCAAAAAGAAACAATTATACCACCAAGTTCAGCGGCTCAAGAACCAATTCACCACTATCTGCCTGAGATTTTGCTTTTCTTTTGTTGTAGAAAGGTTGGAGAATGTATCGTGAGAAGCGGCTCAAAGGGTCCTGGAGCCCCTCCATTTCATAGTGCCCAAATCGCCAATCTCGCTCAACATAAAGCCGTCTTATGGGTTGATCAAGACCTCCTGTTAAGATGAAGTCAATCAAACAATAACTGAAGCAATCAGTACGTATTTGTAATCTCTTCCCAAGTTTATCATACTTGGAAACAAAGCTAGAGTGGCCATGCACGAGAAGCGAATTACAAGAGCTGCAGAGCAACACAATATGTAGATGCATAATTGAGTTATTATATTCATCCATATGAACTAGTATATCGCGCATGTGCTCCTCCTAAGTACAGTTTAAAAGCATAGCACTGCATGTCAATTGACAATCCAGTACTTTCGGATTTATGTTGACAAAATGTCTGCCAGGAGCCCTTTTCAACCCCAAAGGACTTTGTGGACAATCATTTCCAACATCCACAAATAATGTCTATTCCTTTTATAACTGCTGTCAAAACCATCAGATGTCTAAGGAGAATAAAAGAACTAGGCCCATTCTATTGTAATGGCCTCGAGAAAAAGTTTTGCACTCGTAGCTTGACATAAAGATGACACCAGTCATTTAACAGCAAGAAATGAATGCAATGTATTACCCGCATACATCAAGCCACGTTTGTTAACAGCCCGATAAAATGGCCTATTCTTTTTTTCCTTAGCAGCCATTTGAAGACCATTCCATGACCGCTCCCTGTCTTCTCGTGTAACTTTGCCAGATTTCACCACCTGAAATAAAGATTACCAGCTAGAGTATCTGCAACAAGACAAGGTAATAAAAGGACCAGCCAAAGAAGCAGCAAAGGAGTTGTTACTCTGGAAAACAAATTATAAGAGGGGCGTGGAATCCTTTTAAGGTTGTTCGACCGATCTACTGCTACAAGCCCAAATTTTGGCCCGTATCCATCAGCCCATTCCCAGTTGTCAGAAATGGTCCAAAACAGGTAACCAAGGACGGGAACACCCTTTATGAAAAGGAAGACAGGCTAGAATAAATACTTTAAGAGAGTAGGGCCCAGTCAATAATATTTGAGGGATTTAGAGCTCAAACCATGGTCATGGCAGCATATACTGCTAGTAGATGTTCTAACAAGTATGGGTGTCTGATCAAATCAGTCTCATCGGAAACACCATTTTCAGTAATGACAAAGGGTAGTTTAAGATGCTTGTATCTTTCATGGAACTGAACAAGCACACGGTATAACCCGTCAGGATAAACCCCGCGACCAGATTCACTGTATTCATCAGTTTCAACCAACTTCAGTCCAGCACCTGAAACCACTTCCTGGAAAATTCCAGACAATTCAGATTTTCAGGTTTGGTGATTTCAAAAAAGGTAGGAGAATGATATAATGTAAATTAATATGTTTCAAGAGCTTTATACCTGTCCATAGTAATTTATCCCTATATAATCCAGCTTGTCACAAATGCTATCCAGGAAAGGAAACAACGTCAATGAACTTGCGACCTTAACTGCAGGGATGTCAAATAGGCCATATGGACGCATAAATGAGACGTGGTGTGCCACTCCAACAATTGCACATGATATTGTACTGTGGACAAATGACCAGAGAGGCTTGTAAGACAAAGGATAGTAGACATTACAAATAAAAACTGGCAGATAGATGCTTTAAGATCAAGATACTATTTCACAATCCATGCTTAAGGTTCTCCTTTTAGAAAACCCCACAGGTCTAGAGAAAGATTATGTGTTATAGTTAAGCCAGTCACCTTGAAGCTCCTTACCTCCTCCTCAGAATAGAATATTCTATCAAAGCATATGCCATTCACAAACTTAATTCACACAAAGTACACTTGTGTAAAGGGTTTGTTATCCTTTTGACAGGATGAGTGCAAAAGCAAGTCATGTGTAAAGGGTTTGTTATCCATTCACAGACTTAATTCACGCAAAGTACATTTGTGTAAAGGCTTTGTTATCCATTTGACAGGATGAGTGCAAAAGCAAGTAATGTAACATCACTTAAAATTCACAAGCCTAATTATCTCCAAGCCCAGTCTCCAAGAACAAAGGAAAAAGGGAAAAAGCGAAGGAATCAAAGAAAAAGGGTTTCACCATCAGACTGCAAATTTAACAGGCAAACAAACAAGAAGATTTATATATAAGCAGTAGAAATGCATTTAAAATCTGTTAGCCGGGCCTATGAGAAAATGCAAGTGGTATCTTTGCTCTTAAAAGACAAAGACAGCGAATGAGAAAGAGACCAGGGAATGAAGATGGAGAAAGATGTTATGAATGGTGTTACAAAACTACCAATCTTTCCATTTTTGTTAAACCTAAAATGCACATTTATTTGTTATCAGTGAAATAAATTAGGTGCAATAAGATTGACTCAAAACTTAGGTCTGAAAGTTGGCCTCTTATCTTTGCTATACAAGATTTGTCAACGTGTTTGCAACTACGTGTTTCAAACACACAAAGAAAATTACTGATGCATGTAAAAGCATGCATGCACACTTTACAGAAATATGCAAAGGCCATTCTAAAAGACAAAGTAGAAAATACTGATATAAACCAAAATTTTCCAAATAGTAAATGAGACATTCATCTCCAAAGCATGAAAGACAACCTTTTTTCATGTATGTAATCGTATGCTTTTAGATGTGCAGTGGTTATCCAATGCATGGCTTGGTTGAAGACGCCAGTGGGTAGAGCAGAAGTGGCAACCTCCAGCATATCAGGATTACCACCAGGCCAAGCACCAGCACAATAAGTCAGCATACAAAAGACGTGCGGCTCGTTAAATGTTACCCAGTAGTCCACAATATCCGAAACACTGTCAACAACAAGCCTGCAAAACAGATAGAACAAGATCGTCGAGCCAGAAGCATGTGAACCCTCATGCAGTTTCTGAAAAAAAAAATCTTATGATGAATAAAGTCCAGTCAAGTCAAAAGTTACTTAGCCATATACTTTATACAAGCTAATTGAAATGATTTCTTAACAAATTCAATATTAGATTGCATGTATGATTTTTTATAGATCCAGCTAATAACTAGAATAGAGCAATGAAACAAGACAAACAGGAATCCTGGCCCATGCCAGTTGTTCTGACATATCAGCATACAATTTGGAGGGGCAAAATGATGGTGATTGGTGAATGCTAGGCTACAACTTAAATGGCATAGACAAGTTTACTAGAACCTCGTGTATCAAGAATTACAGGATACTGACCTCGTAAATTGCAGGAAATGGTCTACAGTCTTTTCTAGCTTCCACCCGCCATAGTCTCCTGCCCATGGTGGCAAGGAGTGGTGAAACAATGTTAGCATCACTTTCATCCCATATGACCGAACTCTATTGATGATCCATCTATATCGTTCCAATGCTGCGTAGTTGACCTAGAAGACATATCATGAAGTATCTTCACTAGTATTTATCAAAAGAAAGTCTCCATATTTTTAATTACTTGAAATACTAACATTCCCCAGAATTGGCTGTATGCTGGTTTGCCTTCATATGACTCTAAAGATAGCAAAAAGGAATTTGCTAACATATTATATTTCCAGATTTATAGTTGTGTTCCTAGTGGACCCAAAATACGCTACACAAGCTACAGATAAATCCAGAATTTTCATTATAATATGTCCCTCATTTACTTACAGTTTCTTTGAGTCCAGTCACTGGCTCCTCCGGCATAATCCTTGTCCAATCTATTCCCATGCGAAACACTTGTACACCAGTATCCTTAGCTAATTTCAATTCTGTATCAGGATCAGACCAAAACCTCAATCTTTCTTCCCTGGAAGTAAATCAAACATTTGATAACTTGCAAAGTGTAATACGAGAATTCTATAAAAGTCACACTCAGGATCCTTGATGTTATTACTCCCAATGCCCACTACAAAATCCTTTTGCCAACTAGATTTTTCAGGTTAATAACATTTTGTTCAATTACACGCAATACTTTCTCGTCCCTCTTGAAGCAAACTTTGTGTGATTATACCAACGCATCTCCTATAGCTCTAAAAGGTTAGGGAACAGGTATATATACTTACGGGTTTGGGACATTGTGCCAGGCAGCAACGTTATGATGGCATTCTTCAGGGGTTACAGGTTCTTCAAATTCTTCATACTTCTCAAATCCTCTAAGTTTTGCTTCCATAGCTATCTTAAGTGGCTTCTTTCTCTTTATGGTCCTATTAGCTTCTTTAGGAGGTAAGGAAGCTGGCTGAGATCCCCCATCACTGGAAGCAGAACCAACTAGCACATCAGCTGGCAGGGGGTCATGCTGAGGTTCTAACTTGTCACAAGGACTTTTCTCTGCAAACTCAAGCCAAGCATCATTAAGTCTGTCTTCAACATGTGCCGGTGCTGTTGCCAACCCGAAAAAGAATCCTTTCTCACCTTCTAACCCAGAAAAAAAAAACATGAAAAAAGAAATGAGGGAGGGAAAAAGGACATCTTATAGAAGATACTACTTTCCACAGCCTCATCAAATAATAAGAGAAGGGAGCTTGAGAGCATCCAATGCACAACCAACAAAATAATGATTCCTGGACCTAATTCTTCGGTACATACAGATGATCACTATAATTCAAAGTCAATTAGAATCCATTTCCAAGGAAAAATTTACAACCACCCACAACAATCAAGTAATGACTTTTTAAAAGCAACGATTGACTATTATTTTGTAGAACATCTGAAACTTGATGAAACTCACAGGCATAAGCACAGTCAGCTGATATTCAAAAAGGGCGCGGCGCATGCATTGCTTGTTACTTGAGTCAACGTGAAGCAAATAAATTAAGCCACTCCCAGCAAAATGGAGTATGACCACATAATGATGCAATGCTAAGCCTAGATGATTATCCGGCAAATATGCATAATTACTCCAAAAAAGCACACATACTAGAGAAGCATGAGCTTTTTCCTCAAGTGACACGTTTACTTTGTAGAGTCTTGGTGCTTTGATTTACATCATCAGATACATATCCACCCTGTATCAAAACTCGGTCTTGAGCTCAAAGAGCGCTTCACTCCCGAAGCACCGCAAGCTCAAATCAGCTCTTAATCTTAAATTCCTAACACCGCAATGTGCCAGCCAGCTCGAAGTTGGCAAACAAAGTAAGTAAGTAGTAGAATGACTTGCCTTCATGGTTTGTTTCCTTGCTTTTTTTTTTTTATTATTTATTTAATGTCCTTAGTTTGCATGATTGATTTTCTGGTAATGTAATGGGATATAATAAACCCGCAAAATCCAAAAAGCGCACAACTCGAATCCTCAGCAGTTACCAGCTAGCAGTCAACATGAGTATGGTGATCCCATGATTAAAGTAAGGAATTTTCTTGAGAAAATAACGGAAAAATGGAAATTGAAACAAGCATGGCGCTTATCCACCTCGCTAATTGTTCAACTTATGAAATAGCTAAGCTCAGAACAAGTACATTGATTGAAAGGAAAATACAACGAATCATGAATGAGCCAGCCAAATTAAGCAGAATAAAGAAATGGTTTTTTTTTTTTTTTGAATTACCGTGATCATCATCAGAGGAGGAGGAGGAGGGGTTGATGTTGAAGACGGCAAGGATGTCGGAGGCTTCGTCGATGGGAGAAGGGATAGGCATGAGGTTCTTATTACGGAAGCGACGATAAGAGACGGCGTTGGCAGCCACGGTAACAGTGACTAACAATCCGGCGAGTTTGGTCGCCGAAACGAAGAGGGTGAGCAGCATTTAACTAGACTAGAGAGTGACTGTCTTGCCTTGTTATTTAGGAGTAGGATTATACTAATAGGAGTGGTAGAGCTGGTGATTTGGGGGCAGTAATCTACTCTTTAAATAAAATAAAGTAAATACTAACACTAATATACTACTCCCTACTAACTTGATGAATTTGGAGTCTAGAGTGACTAGAGCAGACAAATTCAATTTTCCAAACCTGAAGGCAGAGCCAAATTTGAGGGACGATACACGTACAAAACACCGCCAATTCTACCTTCTTCTGAATACGCAAATACTACTTCCTACTGCTGCAAGTGCAAACCAAACTAGTAGGTAGGAGTAGTACATAAGAAGGAAAACAGAAGAGTCAATGAAATATGGATGGGCAATATGTGCGTTGTGTGTGTGGTGGGGAATGAGTATCGAGTATTGCGTATTGAGTGAAGACAGCGTAAGAGTAGTATCTTCTACACGTGCCTGGACTTGACGGACCAATGATAAGATAAAATCGACGTCGTTTTCTCATTTTTGGTGTTTGGATCGTTCTCCTGAATCCACTCGCTCCAAATGTCACAGCTCACAACCAACCAACCAACCAACCAACGTTGTAGTGTAGTAGAGTCGAGAGAAACGGGAGCAGAACAACTATGAATAATCAGCAGAGTAAAGCAAAAAGAATACTAGAAAGGAAATAATAATTCGGTATCATATCTTGGCATTATGGATAAAAGATCTTTGTTGAATGTTTAAGAAATGCTCATTTGATAGCTTACCTGGTGATAGGGATAGACTCGGTGCTAAACTGAGTAGATTAGCCATACTTCTTCTTTGACGAGAAACCGAAGGTCATCAGTAGCCTAGTCCACTTTTGTAAAGTCAAATTTGAACTCTTGCTTGCACAATATAATTTTACTTTTTTACTATGAAAAAATTTCTAGCGTTACGGAAAAAAAAAATTATCTTGGCAGTATGGATGATGTCCTAACCAAACAAAAAGATGATAGAAATTTTATCCCCCTTTTATAACTTTGTACTCCTATTTGCAAATCTTTTTTTTTTTTGTAATTATTATTATTATAGTACTCCTACCAACGTTACTTTAATTAGCAACTTTCCTTTTCCCCGTAATAATCCCACTACTTACCGCAACTTGCCCACTTTTGAAGACAACACACAGACACACACCTAGCCCAATGCCAAGCCCTGGAAATTTGGGCCAGCGTTGGCCTGTTTGTTTGCTAGCTAGAAAATCTCACTCGGGCTTCCACCGTCAAGATGTCTCACTGACAGAGCCCACTACACTCTACACTAGTCCTGCTCCCAGTACTGCATGGCTTGCTTACCCCGGTATTTGACCTTCAGTTTCTACCAAGGATGTTCTCCACAAAACCCCCTCCACAACATTTTTAAGTTGATGGATGATTTGGGGGGAAGGTTGAGCTAGATGATTTGAATGAGAGAGCGTAATTAAGAGATTTCGGATCCGAACCCTTTTACTTATACTAAAAAATTACAAAAAAAAAAAAAAAAAAAAAAAAAAAAAAAGAGATGTGATGAATAATTTCATTTGTCCATAATTCCTTGACCTAGCCCGAACAAAGTTCAGCCACAAGAAAATGCAATGGGTGCAGCAAAAGGCAATAGCCAGTAGTAAGCCAAAAATCTATCAACCACATAATCCAATACTTGGGCAGTCGATTTGAGTAGTTGTGCGTGTTTGTTGATCACACGCCCACGTGTGAGCATTTAGCAAGACAGACATACAAGGAAGTATTAATTACTACTCGTGTGTCCTTGAGTTGAGTCTGCAGTTTACCATAAAAATTTCACTAACAATCCGTACAAAGCTGGTGAGAATACAATAATGAATGGACGGACAGCGGACAGGAGGAAGCAAAATGGAGATGGGATGAAGTGGTCCAGCAGCCGGGGGCATTGTTGCGTTAATAAATGTCCAGCTTCCAAATTCCGTGCACTGAAGAAGGCAGCAGCGGCAGCAGCAGCAGCAGCAGAGCATGGTCAGTGGCAGTAATTGAATTGGCATTGGGGTATGGTATGTATAGGAGGTGTAATGATTACTTGGTCAGAGGGAATTTCGGAAAAGAAAGCTACAAGTCATTGCGCTAAGAGTCAACCCCAACCCTGATACATCGCTTTCCCGACTAATATTCTCCCATCCATGACCCACCTTTGGCCCCTCTGCCTCCTCCTCAAGGTCTCATGAATAAGCTTCCGCGAGGTTTTTCTAAAAATTAAAGTTATACTTACCTTCTCTATTTTGACACTATAAGCCTTAAGATTGCATCAAAATTTTAGTGAATATCCTAAAATATCCTTCTCTGATAAAGTTTAATTTATTTTTCTAAACAATTATAAAGTAATTTAGAGCAATTACAAAGGAATGAGTTTCAAGTTTTTTACGTTCATATTTGTTGTTTAATAATCAACTATACTAATAAAACTCATTATGATGAGCTACTCTGAATAGTGTTTTATTGGTGATATAAAGTCTTTTTGAGATGGAAAAAAAAAGCGTCATCGCAATTTTTTAAAGTTTATAAATTAATCGAGCGGTGGAACTACCATAATTTAGTAGTAATTTTAGGCCATTTATTTTTTAGTTATTGTTGATTTTGATACCAAAAAAATAAAGAGACAAACAATATGAAGAGACATGGTTTGAATCCTTGGTGTCAAAGTACAGTACAGCTCTGATTGAGAGTTTGCTCAAAAACGATAAAGGATTCAAATCTTATCTTTCATTAATGTGTCACTATTTCTTTCAAATCTATATAGGTGAGTAGTGCATCCGTCTGATTCGACGGTGATTCAGTTATCGTTGATTTCTCTAGACCCCATTGAGCCTCTCTCCCTCTAGTGTAGACTAAAGTAGAAGTAGATTAGATTAGTTATTGCCGTCTAATAAAAAAATACAATCAATTATTATTTAAATATATATATATATATATATATAAATATATAGGACTTGGGGACTTGGGGAGCGAGGTACAGTCATATTCTCTCCCCTGTCTGCTACAGCCAACTTCAGTGCTAGTTTCAAGCAAATTTAGGACGCGGGCTGAGCTCAAGACAATTTTAGGGAAAGGAGCAGTGCGCAATGAATACACTTGACCAAAAGGCTTTTCCAACCTAATTAAATATAAGACTCACGCCTTATCAAAAAAAAAATATATATATATATATATAAATATATATAAGACTCACGAGTGCCCACCAGGTGGCGTCAAATATTTGGAAAGATAGAGAGAGTTAATTTAAAAAATATATATGAATGTAAGGAAAAATAGTAGTAATTATTAATATGTACAATGACACAATAAATTAAGTACAATTTAATTGCATTAATACGCGTTCACTGAATACCCATTAAAAAAATTCTTACAAATTACTCCCCCATAACTTCGATTGCACACGCATCTCCCCCATAACTAATTAAGACGTGGGCATGGTTACAAACTTTCTAAATGGTTCAGAATCCACGGCCATCGACCATTGCTGCTCCTCAAAAAATGGTACTACTACAGCTCGTGATTGTACTAACTTTCACAAATTCTTGTCCCCTAGACCCATTCATTGTTTCATCTTGTACGTGTAACTAATACTAGGATTGGTAAAAAATTTGCTAGTGTAGGATTATTTGGTTGAGAGAATGAAGGCTTTTAACTGCGCATGGAAATTGTGTTTTTTTTTTTTTTTATAATCAATTGTTAATTTCTACACTACTCTTATTACTCCTGCTTCTACTTTAATCCGTCTATGATTTTTTTCCAATTTTACTGCACTTGAATTTTACTGCAAGTGCAGATATTCGAAACTCTAAGCTATAATCAGGTCCGCACTTTAGCCTTTAAACGATGATCAACTCACTTGAGGCTGCGCACCGAAATACTAGGTGGTACAGTTCTTTAGTACTGGTATAATGACGAGTAAACAGATTTGTTTTAGTTGTTTGATGTCTGGATAAGGGAGAAGTTCGTAAAATTAAAGAAGATGGTGGGGGGGATCGATAGTAGGCGGACCACACCCCAATGTGCATCTTGGCTGCAGGCACAGTAGTGTGTTCTTGCTGCTTGTCACTAAAATTTAAGAGAATAATCAACTGAAGGGGCTTTGGCTCAGGTGGAGACTGGAGGATGGAGACTTGCTCCGTCCCCCGGCCCTCATGCCAGGCACAAACAACCGAGTGATACTAGCTAGATTCCAGGATATACACACACACACCTACTAATATCACATGAATGCCTAAGTTTCAGCTTAACGTCCGGAAACAGGAAGTGCAACAATACAACATATGGGCTGGCACATATAGAATATACAACAGCCAGTTAAAGTTTCGACGTAAAACGATGCCCGGTGAGATGTTTAACAGTCTTCTTAGTTTTCAACTGGGCTAAGAAGCTGCTGTGCTTGTTTGGGGAGTCGGGATGTATTCATGACTTTGACTCCCCGGAGCCACACGAGCAGTTTGAACCTTGAAACCCCAGGCACCTACAGAAAAAAAAAGAAAGAATTGAATGGGATGTTTTCCGCATCATCGAGTTGTTACAGTAGTATAATTAATTATAAACAGAAGATAATAAATACAAACACCCTGAGGGAGTAAATTGCGTGCTTTGGGCTTCAGGCAGAAATTTCAGCAATATTCTGATTTTCATTCTAGCAAGCAACCACATCAACTGACTCATTTTGATGTCTATCCCCTCAATTACTACTGATTGCTGATACTAGTATTTGACTGTCCAAATATATATATATATATATATATGGATGTTGATGTCAAAGATGATAATTACCATACAAACCGCTACGGGTTTAAGAAGCGTGTCCAATATCCTGTTAATAGCGCAAGCACGAGGGAGACAGTTGAATAGGTGGAAGGAATATTATTGTTGGAGCGTGAGGCTTTCATTGTCGGTTAATTTTTTTATTTTTTCCTTTTTGGTTACTGTTAAAAAGTCGTACCCTGATGATAGCGAGTTTATGTGCTGTAATGACAGGGACAGAGAGAATCGAGTCAAAAAGAGAGTGCTAACTTTACTAAATTAAAAAATAACATGCATGCTATGGTTTCTTTTCCTTTTATTATTATTATTATTATTTTTTAGACTTTTACTCTTTTCCATTTTGGACAGCAATTTTCCGGCAGCCTCTTTTTATGTATATATATTCTTTATTTCCGGCAGCTTCTTTACATTCTTTTTTTTTTTTTTTACCTCAACTGTCAAGTACAAAATTCGAATCCTAAATCTAACAATGAAGATATTCTAAAAGCCTTCTCTCCTGATAATCCAACCAACCCTAGTGATTGGTGAGTTAGCATGATAAGTACTCATACTTTCATATTATAGCAGTTAATTAACGTTTTTTTTTTTTTTTCCTTTTTCTGTAGGATACACTCAATGCAGCAGTGCACTGATAGCTAGAACTTGGAGAAAGAATACTCGTTCGTGGTCCCGCATGCACGTCTATAGGCTCGGAGACTGAGATTGCTAGAAAACGGAGAACGATTCGCATGTAAGGATTTAAACTCTCTTGTTAGATCGAAAAGGACACAAAAGGTGGAACCTGCTCTTGATAGAGGACAAGCAGTCATGTGCTTTGCTTATATTTGGATGCAAACCCTTTTGAATTCTCAACCACATCACCTAACTCGTAGTTAATTAGCATTCTCGAAAGATTATAAATGCCAAGAACGAAGCCATCTGCTCTTGTTATTTCGTATTTTGTTCAGAAACGATGAAACCATCAACTTTGATCCGTCGTAGTATTACACAGTTCTCGGCTGCAAAATCTACTAGCTTAACGGATAGGAATGTTGACCAAGTGCGAGCCTTGTTTGGATTGCAATTTACGTCGAAAAATTACGTTGTTTTCCGTGATCACATTTTTCTATTAGATTTTTCTCTCACATACATCAAATTGCTACAGTAATTTTTTCATGAAAAATGCAATCCAAACACAACAAATTATTAATTTCTTCTCATTCCTCGTTCCTCCTCGTACATCTTACAGCAATAAAGTCTCCCGTAAATCTCAAAATAAATAAATACAGAAAGAAAATAAAGCAATTTCTGGTCGATGATTTGCGAACTACTACTGTGTCAGTTGAAAATGTTGTGCCAGAAAACCTTTTTACTCTTTAAATTTTTGTTTGTAACAATGACTATACTGTACTTGCAAGGATGAGGATAATAATAACGGGATGATGAACAGATAATTAGCTGAGGGAAAAAAAAAGAATTAGTGTGCTAATTTTTGACCGTATCTTAGAAGACCGCGACGGTGGCCACGCGGCTCCGTTTCCCACGTCTTCGAATTTCTTACTCTCTCGCCCACCAAAAATTCTTAATTTAATCACCAGCAGTCCTATAGTGCTAGAACAAGAACAAGAACAAGAACAAGAACAAGGCTGCCTCTCTCTCTCTCTCTCTCTCTCTCAATTCAGTATATTGTTTACTCAATTCAATCTAAGCTCAATTTTAGTAGTATTATTTATTCAATCCAATTCAAACTAAACATCAAAAAGTGTGGCGGTCACAATTACTACTCTGCTACCTTTTTTTTTTTTTTTGGAGGAAACTGCTTTACTACTTCGAAAGAGAAAAAAAAGACCACTACCACTCACAATTTTATGTACTTAATTTAAAGCCCAAATGCGGTCACCCAGTGGTGATGATTTCGGGGAGATGATGACTTGATGTTGTCGTTCATCTCTCCCTAGTCCCTCCATTGCGCAGCTCTCTCCGGTTAACCCCTCTTTCTATTTCTGTGACCCCTATTGCAATGTTGTCTTCATCTTGTCTTCTACGAGTACTTTATGCCTTTTTTTTTTTATATATATATAAAAAAAACAAATTTATTAAATGATTGTTGAGAATCGTTCGGTACGATTTGATTTACAGCACTGTCATTATGGTAGGTTAAATATGTATTAAAATAACACATTTACAATTTTACGGATATAGTAGATCTAAAAAATTGTGAACAAATCTGAAAAATATAAGCAATTTTAAAATTGTCCTTGATAAATTGCAGTAGCTCTTTTTTTTTTTTTTTATGTATGTTCTAATCATCAAACCTGCTAATCAAGCATTTTAAACTCTAATAATGATGATGGGATCTGTTGAGATAGGGCAAAGATCCAAAAAAAAAAATTTAGATATGAAATAAATTAAAATTCAACAGCAAACCAAAATAAGGGCAAAAAGAAAAATAAAACATAAAAAATCTCGCTACGAACCTTTAAGAGAAACATAGAATTTTCATTAAGAAAATTAAGAGATAATTTATTAGAAAAAAAGAAAAATAAAATCCATGGTATCCTTCTAAAGAGAAAGGTCTTTTGAGGAGAGTATAAAAGGTGGCGAGAAGTTGAAGAACATGAGAGGTAGTACTTTGTGCACATTAGTACGCTATATAAGTTTTGCATTTTTCAAGGTTTATGTAGTAATTATCCAATCCTTTCACTTTGTAATAAATATTACCATGGAGGCAACCTCAGCTGTTTTTCATTGAGGAGTGGTCACTAGCTACGCTAAGATTTTTTTTTTTTTTTTTTTTTTAAATACGCTATGATGTTCACTTAAAGTTGCATATTAATTATTTTGAAAATCCTAATTTTAAGTTACGGTCATCATTTTATTATTATTATTGGATCGGATCGGAAGCCAATACGCAGGCGCTTGTGATCTCAGCCCATCCTCGTTCAGCTTTCTTTTTGATGGCATCCACTCTGCACAACTTTCTCGACGCGAAATTAAGGCTGTGTTTGGATTGTATTTTTCATAATTTTTCATGAAAAAATTACTGTGACGATTTGATGTATGTGAGAGAAAAAGATGATAGGAGAATGTGATCACGAAAAACAACGTAATTTTCCAACGAAAAACTGCAATCCAAACAAGGCTTAAAGTTTGAGATTTACCCAACGCCAAGTCACCTTGTCGAAGACATATATGCTTAGGGATGAGCAATCTTTGGGGTTACGGCCTGAGGGATTAAACAAAGCTTAGATAGCCAATACCAATCCACCACCTACTTAGGTGGGCAACGTAATAAGTTAGCAACCTTCTCTTGCTGCCGTCCGGAATTTGAATTTGAAACCTCAACACTTTTAAATCTATACAGAACCTGATTATTTGAATAATATCTATTGCAAAGTCCGTTGCCCTGGTTTAGTCAGCTACGACTAAATATCCTTTTGTGAAAAAAAAAAAAAAAAAAAAACTTCTCCCAGGACGAATTTTCAACATGGTCCGCCGGGTAGCACGGTCAGACTGGACGGGCAGCCTCTCAGTGACGTCAACAAATGAGGAATGGGAGTAGGGAGTGGGGGCGCTGGCCGAAGGAAGAAGTGGTGTTTGGGGTACTCATACTAGGTGGGGGAGGAGGAGGAGGAGGAGGGACTAGACCTAGGGAGTATGAGGGTGGAGGGAGTACATTCCCTTTGGACCTGTCATTGTCAGCGCTATCAGCCCACTGGGTGTCCTCAAATTTCGCCTCCTCCTCCATATAAAGCCCAACTTCTCACCCGCTCCACTACTACTACTACCACTACTAAACGACCTTTTGCCTTCCTTCTTCCTCACCCACGCTCTCTCTCTCTCTCTTCTATTTTCTCTGCCGTCGCTTCTTCCTGTATGGGTGGAAGAGAAAAGGTTGCGAAGCAGAAAGCAACTCTGAAAATTCCGCGAGGTTAGAAATCTTTAGTACACTGCACAACCACAACCCCCCAAACCCCAAACTTCCTCCCCTTTTCTACTAACAATACACCAATTAACTACTCTGCTGCGCCGCTCACTCCACCACCTAACTCCTTATTATTGGGGTTAGAGTATGTTTATCTCCTCATTACAGTATCAACTATTGTGCTAATCTACATTCTCTATTTTCCCTTCAATTTGGTGCAGGTGATTTTTTCCCAATTAACTTGTATGGCTCGACCAACGCCAGAGCCCGTATGCCAAACCTTGTAAAAGGTGCAATGAGGGGGCAACAGCAAATCTTTCTCACTTGGAGCTCACAATTGGAGATGGACGCCTGTTCTTCTCCAACCAGCTCCATCTTGACGGTTGCTCCTTCATTCTAATTGGGCGCTATCCTACCTGAGCTTTTCCACAGCCCCGCCACTTCTTCAATGTTTCGCCTTTTTTTTTTGTTTTTGTTTTTTTGACTTGTTGCCTTTTGTTTTTCTTTTAAACTGCTTCTTCTTGACCTTGTAAGACCTTTTCTTGACCTTGTAAGACCCTTCGTCCCCTATTTTGCCTTTGTTTTTCGCCTCCTCCTGAACCTTATATCAAGATTTTTTGATACGAGGTTTGGACGCGGCGTTTCTTCGTTCCCGCCCAACTCACGTTCTCCTTCCTTGTCTATCCCTCCTGAGCTATCGAACAAAATTTGGCATGGCATCTCACTTTACAAATGGCTTGCCTACTACAAGCAAGATCACTTAATCAGCACGCTGTGATCACAAGAGTAATACCGGGCATTTCGATTTTCAAATTTTGATTAGGTTCTTCCCTCTCCTTCCTGTAATCAAAATTATGGATAAGAAATTTGCATTAGCTCAAGTTTGCTATGATGATGTAAAAGGGTACTCACTATCCATATAGTTCATATATAATAATGACTACTATCGATCTGCTTGAAAGCCATATATCCTAGTTAATTTCAATCTGTTGTTTGCATGAAAGCATCTGTATGGGTACGCAAATACAGTACACATCCTCTGTTAGCTCAATTTGCATATACTATATATAGTATATTGTATCGTATGGGCATACATGTGATGTTTCGGTTCTCGCAGTACTTCCTCTTTGCTTTCTGTGAACTTGCATATTCCGAGAAGAAGATGAGGGGAATAAAATTAAAATGTGGTATTATTTCGGCCGATTTGTGCAATGGACTTGGGAGTTTCCTTTTCCTGGCGACTGCTCATTTGTACAAACAACATGTCAAGTATTCACTCTTCTTCTGTATCATTCCATCAGTATGCGCACTTCTTTTTCTCTTTATCTTTCATGGGTTTTTCCTGCCTGCTTCGTCCATCCATCAAGTCATCGCATTTATGGGATGTAGTTTTTTTTTTTTTTTTTTTATATATATTAAAAAAAAAAAGACACCAAAAACTGAGAGGGTCAGCTTTTCGACGTACTACTTTTATGGTACTGAAAGCCCTTTTACTAGCAGAGACCCAGGTCTATTATTGTTAGTCTCTCTGCTTGTGCAGTTGTGCTTGTATGTGTACTGTGTGTAAAATACGATAGTGTGAATGTGATTAGTAGTACTTCTTATAATTGATCTCTCCGGGTTTTCCATGTTCCATTTTTGTTTTTTATTTCTATATTTTTTTTTCTTTGCTCGTTTCCTGAGCACTAAAGACGGTTAAACAGAGATAAGTAAAGAGACGAGGATACCAAGCGTTTGGAGCCGTCTGCGTTATATATGCCCTGTCTTTAGTGCTCATAACCATTAAAAGAGTAGTTTTTTTTTTTTTTTTTTGATATAGAGAGAGAGAGAGAGAGAGATTGATTGATTGATTGATTAATGCCATTTTTGTAGGCTCCGCTTGTATATAGTTCAAGTTCAAAGGACATTGAAGCGTACGTCAATGGCCTAACTTAGGTGTTGTCCCTTGGAAAAAGGTGGATCTACCCTGCCAAAGTATGGACTATGTGTGGAGGGGAGGAGGAGAAAATGCAGGAGGGACAAACTAAATAAAACCAGAAAAGGGCAGTGATCTTTCCCATTGGTCAAAACAGTGGAACATCATCCCACTCCATTCCGTAAATAACACTCCAATGCATTTCATACATGATACATCAACCATCATCATTTAGGTTGGACTAATTGGAAATTTACGGGTGAGAAGTCAAGTCCCGAAAGGGGGCGTCAAGTCTTGAATTTTGGCACCGAATGATGATGTCTCCAAGTGGGCTATGAAAAGCTATGGGAACCGTTAACCGTGTCTGCAACTTTTTGTTTCCACACACACACACACACACACACACCTCTCCCTCTCTCTGTCCACCTTAAAGGCCTATATCTATACATATATATATATATATATATATATATATATATATATATGCATGCAAAAATTTTTTACTCTCTGCTTCATTTTCCATCATGTGCAAGTAGTAATCTCATCTTTTATCTGCTGGTAGTAATAACTTTCTTTTTATAACATAACAAAAAAAAGGAGAGGTGAAATTTAAAAGACTGAGAGGAAGGGAAAAAGTAATTTTTTTATGAAAAAACAAAATCACTAGTGGGAAGGAAGGGTCCATACATATACGTACATGTATGTATTCGTAGCTAGTTGAAAGCTGTGATCGTACAGGCGGGAATGGGGCCAACATTGCCGAGCGAGCGAGCGATTTTTCAACTATGGGTAACATGCTAACCTGGCCTTTTAGCTGGACGGACCTTTAACTTTTTGAGTTTTTACTCGTATGATTCGTTTGGAGAAAAGTAGGCCATGTGATCATTCTTTGTCAAAGTCACCCAGAACGCGCCTCTCTCATGCTCACAAATTTCTTCTGGACCGGGGGGGCGGGGTTCCATGTTATGATCGTCTCCCCCCTAACATGTCCATTCATGATTTCTACTTTGGAATCTTTTTCCTAACAAAGTGTGCGGTTGTGGATAATTATTTGTACAATACTTAGTTGTGTTGGCAAAAATGTAATTGCATGGATAGAGGCCTAATTATATTTTGAAGAGTACAAAAGATGATAACAACTGTTTACACTCACGGCCGTGCCCCATCTTTATATAATTGTATGCTTAGAAGGAAAAAATTTTATTTTTAAAAATGCTCACTACTTTGCTGCCTAATTCCAACAAACAGGCCTCTCTTGGCCCAGTATTCCAACAGACTGGGTTAGGCTTGCGGTCTCTGACAAGTAAGGAGAATCCAAACTCGATCATGTTTAGTGGGCCCACGAAGACGGCCTTCTCCACATACTCAACCCACCATTCCCTGCATTACAATTTACACGCACCCACCCATAGCACAGATTTTGGGTTCAATAGCATAGACTCTCCCTTTTATCCAAAAAAAAAAAAAAAAAAAAAAAAAGACGCCGTTAGGGAGAATTGAAGCCAAACCATTTAGAAGTCTATTTTGAGTAAAAAAATATACTGTAATAATTTGATGTATGTGAGGTAAAAATATGATATGATATAAAAATGTTGTCACGAAAAAATTTTTATTGGAAAATTTGCAATCCAAACAAGATTTTATAGCAAAGCTGAGACCACGTTAGTTAGTTAGAGTTACAACGGTGCGCAACTACACTCTCTTACAATACGGCAGAAATAATCCATCATATTCATCTACTACTTTGTGTGGAAATGACCCTCGTCGTGATTTAGTCCGGCCTCAAACCTCCTTTTATGACCAAACGGAAAAAAATAAATTAGTTTCTTGCCAAATAATCATATTGCTCTGATCGTGCAAGGTTATCAATCATGCCATTAGCCTAACTCCATAGTTGCACTTTAGCTCGCAAAAAAAAAAAAAAAAATCCAAAAAAAATTAAAGTTGAAATAGGTTACTCAAAAGTTTTTCCAAAATTTCTGTATAAACTGTGTCTGGGTACGCGTTTAAAAAATCCAAAAAAGAAATTGTAATTGTTTGTCATGGCAGACTTAATTATGTGGCTAAGGACCAACAATTTCAAACTCTACATCAGATAATTCTACACTTGTTTCCTGCGTTAACCCGATTGTATATGGCCAATCATCTGATTATAATGTGAAACAAAAGAATAGTGGCAGTGTCAAGTGATATAGTATCATTTTGTGAGGGCCCTCAAGAAATAGTTGTAAAACTTCACTTTTTAGATTCATTTATGATTAGGGATGGCAACGGGCGGGGTTAGGGCGGGGGACCCCTCCCCCATCCCCTCCTCCCCCCACCCCGTCCCTGCCTCGCCCCGTTTCTTCCGCGGAACTAATAAAAATTTGTTATATAATTTTATTATGGTTAAATTTTAGCAAATAATCAAGTACTAAAGTATCAACATATCATCAAATTATTATTCATTGTAATTTTACAATTGAAACTTATAAAAACAATCAAATAAAAATTATTTGAATACAATCCAACATGATGAAATAAATATAACTAAAGTAGTCAAGTTTTCACTTTTAACACAAATACAATCACTAATTCATTATTGTGCTTGTGCTTTTTTTAAGAAAAAAATCTTATTGTATTAAGTGTAATTAGGGATTTAGTATAAATGCATTAGTAAATTTAGTATAACCAATTAATAATTATAGTATAATTAATAATATCAATTATATTATATATACTAATAGACATTATATAATACATATAACTAATAATATCATTATCATAAGTTTGTAACTAATTAAATTATATACATATATATTTTATATATTTATTTTTTTAAAGCGGGTGGCGGGGCGGGGGTGCACTCCCCCGCCCCCCGCCCCCCGCCCCGTTTCTAAGTGGGAGGAAAAAAATTCCCCCCGCCCCCACCCCCGGCCCAACCCCCTCCCCATTAGCCCTCCGCGGGGCGGGTGATCGCGTCCCTATTTATGATTCGCATGATTGATTCTAAATTGATTATCAGCATTCATTTACACTTTTTCAATTATTTGATCAGTATCTTCTATTAATGATTTTCAATTAATTAGAAAGAATATTTGACAAGATATTATTATTGATAGAATTAAAACTTAGGAATCAATTATTTAGAAAGTTCTCTAACCTAATCTGTAAATAACTAGCAATATTCCATTGCTTTACGGTATTTTTGTTAGGCATAAACTAGAAGTGGCCTTACAGGAAAGAAAATATCTAACAATTCCTACACCTCTAAATAAGAATGAGCTATTGAAGAAGAAAGCAAGCATGCTACACCGAGACCACAATGGCAAGTGGTAATCCTCTTTTTATCTTATTACATGTATGTGTGCGTGGTTTAACAATAGTGGTAACATATTGTGAGAGTAAGTTCTGCACATAGATAATATTTTACTTTACTTTACTACCACCACATTTTAGGGACAAATCGTCAGCGTCAAACTACTACATTTTACCACTTTTAGCTTTTGAGCACAAAATTAGTTTAGGCTCGAAAACCCATAGTACTTGCTACCATTCTCAACAGGGACAGCTATCACTTTGCAGTAGCAGTAAGTTGGAAGATAAGTATAAGTTTGCAGTAGCGAGTCAAGAATCAAAAGATCATGAGGATTAAGTATTTGATTATGTAGTTTACTTACCGCCCCTTTTTATTGACTTATCAGCGTTGGTCGGTACTTGATCGAATGAATCTGCACCAAGAATTACGTGCAATTGGAGTTCGTTTCTTAGCCTCTCCAAGGTATCATGCTCCAAAAAGTCCAACATTGGATACAAAATTTCTTTCTGGGCTGTTTTTTAATGTTTAATGATCAAACACAAATCTCAGTAGTCAGTACAAGAGTGCGTCGACTGACCAACCACTACTAACAAGAGTGTTAATGTGCAGTTGTTTTCAAAGATGCATGAACCAAATTAACATCGCATCGCCAAGAAAATGAAAAGAAACAAACACAATATGGCATGTTTTGAGCAGTGAAAGTCACGGGGGGAGAGTACCATCACATCCACAACTCCCATTTCAATAAGAGGGT